TCACACGAGGCCCCCGGGAGTGTTTTCAACTGATGTTTTATTGGAAATGTTAAATATTGGGGAGGGGGAGGCCCCGGTTTTGGGGGGGGGGGGGGCGGGTCCGGTGTTGTTGTTGTTGGGGGGGGGCCACGTTCAGGCGTGTTCTTCAGCCAACTTCTCCGCCTTGGCCACCGCCTCCTCGATGGGCCCCACCATGTAGAAGGCTTGCTCGGGGAGATGGTCATATTCACCTGTGGGGAGATGGGGGGTGAAGAGGAGGAGAACGGGGGGGGGAATGACACCCCCAAAACATCCGTGTGTCCCCATCCCCATCCCGGTTCTCTGTGTACCCGCCAGGATCTGCTTGAAGCCCTTGATGGTCTCCTGCAGCGGCACCAGTTTGCCCATGTGGCCGGTGAAGACCTCGGCCACTTGGAAGGGTTGGGATAAGAAGCGTTGGATCTTGCGGGCCCGCGCCACCGTCAGCTTGTCCTCCTCGGAGAGCTCGTCCATGCCCAGGATGGCGATGATGTCCTGCAGGGACTTGTAGTCCTGCAAAGAGCAGAAAACAGGGGGGGGGCGAGGGTGAGCGGCTCCACGTGCACCCCCCTAGCTTCCTACGGGGGGCAGCCCTGGATCCCTCACCTGCAGGATCTTCTGCACCCCTCGAGCCACGTCGTAGTGCTCGGGCCCCACGATGTTGGGGTCCATGATGCGGGACGTGGAGTCCAAGGGGTCCACGGCGGGGTAGATGCCCAGCTCGGCGATGGCGCGGGACAGCACCGTCGTGGCGTCCAAGTGGGCGAAGGTGGTGGCAGGGGCAGGGTCGGTCAAGTCGTCGGCTGGCACGTAGATGGCCTGGGGATGGAGGGACAATGGGGTGGAGGGGACAATGGGATGGAGGGACAATGGGGATGGAGGGACAATGGGATGGAGGGACAATGGGGTGGACGGGGATGGAGGGACAATGGGATGGAGGGGACAATGGGGATGGAGGGGATGATGGGAATGGAGGGGACAATGGGGATGGAGGGACAATGGGGTGGAGGGGATGATGGGGATGGAGGGGATGATGGGGATGGAGGGGACGATGGGGATGGAAGGACAATGGGATGGAGGGGACAATGGGGATGGAGGGACAATGGGATGGAGGGACAATGGGGATGGAGGGACGGGGATGGGGGACAATGGGGATGGGGGACAATGGGATGGAGGGGATGATGGGATGGAGGGACGATGGGATGGAGGGACAATGGGGATGGAGGGGATGATGGGGATGGAGTGACAATGGGATGGAGGGGACGATGGGGATGGAGGGGATGATGGGGATGGAGGGGACGATGGGGACAGGAAGTGACAAAGGGAATGGAGAGGACGATGGGGATGGAAGGGACAAAGGGGATGGAGGGGACAATGGGACAGGAAGGGACAATGGGGATGTAGGGGACAATGGGGACAGGAAAGGATGATGGGGACAGGAAGGGACAATGGGGATAGGAAGGGACAATTGGATATAGGAGGTGACGATGAGGACAGGAAGGGACAATGGGGATGGAGGCGATGATGGGGACAGGAAGGGACGATGGGGATAGGAGGGGATGATGAGGATAAGAAGGGACAATGGGGATGCTGGGGACAGGAGGGGACGATGACACAGCATCCTTAGGGTGCACAATGCAGTCGTAGCCTCACCTGCACCGAAGTGATGGATCCCTTGCGCGTGGTGGTGATCCTCTCCTGCATGGTGCCCATATCGGTGGCCAGGGTGGGCTGGTAGCCCACGGCAGAGGGGATCCTCCCCAGCAGAGCTGACACCTTGGGGTGGGGGGTACAGAGGCTCTGAGGGGCTGCACAAGTGGATGGAGGGGGGGGTCACAGCGGGGCTGGTGCTGAGCACCCACCTCGGAGCCAGCCTGGGTGAAGCGGAAGATGTTGTCGATGAAGAGCAGCACGTCCTGGCCCTCCTGGTCCCTGAAGTATTCGGCCACCGTGAGCCCGGTCAGGGCCACCCTGGCGCGGGCACCGGGGGGCTCGTTCATCTGCCCATAGACCAGAGCGACCTGCGGGCAAGGACAGGGGGTGGGCACGGTGCTACCGGTACCCCCCCTTCAGGAGAACCCCTTCTCTATACCTTGGATGTGGCATCTTTGAGGTTGATGACCCCGGACTCGATCATCTCATGGTACAAGTCATTGCCCTCACGGGTCCTCTCCCCAACGCCGGCGAACACCGAGTAGCCGCCGTGGGCTTTGGCCACGTTGTTGATGAGCTCCATGATCAGCACCGTTTTACCCACGCCGGCGCCTCCGAACAAACCTGGCACCAGGGGAATCCTGCTCCATGCCCAGCCCATCCCGGCCGCTCCCCCACCTCCCTGCTCCCCTTTTCCTCCTCAGATCAATCCAAGTGGCTTCAGCCAGCTCAGAAGAACGAAAGTCAAACGGTTCCTCATCAGCGAAGGAATCTCCCGTTCTCCCCCTCCCCTGCCCTCCATGCCCATAGGGAGCACGCACCGATCTTGCCCCCCTTGGCGTAGGGCGCCAGCAGATCCACCACCTTGATCCCTGTCACCAGGATCTCCTGCTCCACGCTCATCTCCACGAACTCGGGGGCTTCGGCGTGGATGGCAGCAAACCTGCGGGGAGGAACGGGGCTCAGGAGCTCCAACCGGGCCCCGGGGCTGAGCGCGGAGCCTGCTCACGGCACAGCGCGGCTCGGGGCTGGCCTCGCTCACTGCTTGGTGGTGATGGGGCCCCGCTCGTCAATGGGCTCCCCGATGACATTCATGATCCGGCCCAAGGTCTCGGGGCCCACGGGGATGCGGATGGGAGCTCCGGAGTCCAGCACCTTCTGGCCCCTCACCAGCCCCTCGGTGCCGTCCATGGCGATGGTGCGCACCGTGTTCTCCCCTGCCAAAGGCCAAGGGCAGCGTCGCAGCAGCGCCCAAGGGCTGGCCCCGGGGAGCCGCCGCTGCCTTCCCCCGGGCACGGAAGCCGCAGACCGCGATCTCCCGACGGGAAACGCGGTCCTGAGGCCTCGCATTGAGATGCACGGCGGAGGCACCGGGAGCGCACGGCCACGGCCGCAGCGGGCACTCACCGAGGTGCTGAGCCACCTCCAGCACCAGCCGCGTGTCCCGGCCCTGCACCTCCAGCGCGTTCAGGATGGGGGGCAGCCCCTCATCGAACTGCACATCCACCACGGCGCCGATAACGGCCACGATGCGCCCGGTGCTGGAGCCCGCCTTGGCCGCGGGGGCCGCCTGGGCCGCATAGTCCCGGCCTGCAGCGGGGTTGGGGGGGGGAGACAACGGGGACGAGTCAAGGTCGGGGGTGGTTGGGGTGGGGAAACGGCAGCTCCGGGCACCCGTGTGGGGCCGGGGCAAGGCCCGAGACCCCCGGGACCCCCCCTCCCGGTGCTCCCGCTCCATCCCCGCTGCAGGCCCCGGCCCCTCACCCGCGTAGGCCCCAAGGTGACCCCGGGTGCGCGGCCCCGCACTCACGCGGCTCGGCGGCGGCGGGCGCGGCCCCGCGGCTCAGCAGCAACGGGAGGAGGCGGCGGCCGGGCCCGGCCTCGCGGCGCAGCAGCGGCCGAACAACGGCGGCGGCGGCGGCGGCCCCCGAGCACCGACCCGCCAGCCCCAACATGGCGCCGCCGACTGAGCCCCGCGCCCCGCCCGCGCCTGCACGGCCCTCGGCGGGGCGGGACCGCGGCGCCACGTCGCGCGCCCCATTGGATACGGCGCCGACGCGCGCTCGCTCTGCGATTGGCCACGCTCTCCTCTCGCCGCGACGCCATTGGGAGGATTAGCCATCCGTCAAGGAGAGGGAGGAGGTGATTGGGAGAGCTTAGAGGGAAGGGGCGGGGACAAGCGCAGAGCGGCGGAAGCGGCGGCGCACGTGTCCGCGCTTGTCCTTGGACCGGGCGCGGTGACCGCGGCACCGGGGCCGCTTCCGTCCCGTCCCCCCCCCCAGTCCCATTGCGGCCAATGGAGCCGCCGCTGCCCCCGTCCCGTCCCATCCCGTATCCCCCCAATGCAGCCACCAGGGCCGCCAGCATCGCGTCCCCCACCGTCCCCGTCCCCGGTGCGGAGCAGGCGCAGCAGGAGGCGAGGCCCGGGAGTCTTCAACAGTTTATTAGAAAGAATGCAGACATTAAAAAAATCCCAGCTGCTCGGAACACAAATTGAGGTTTTTCAGCCCGGTTGGGAGGTGCCCCGGTGGGGGGGGAGGGGGGGGCCGGCGGAATTCCTGGTACCCGGTGCCCCCGGTGCCTCCCCACCCTTTCTCGCTTCCACAGCCACAGTGCAAATAGGATTTGGTCTAAAGGAACAGCTCAACAAGCAACAATGTACAGGCATCGCCCCGGAGGAGGAGGAGGAGGGTGTAAAGCTTTAGAGCCAAACGGTACCAGGGGACAGGCTCCAGCCACCGGTACCCGGTGGCTCGGGATGGAACAACCCCACGGAGGAGAACTGGTGTTGCCTTTTCAATACAAAGTTTAATGGAAGGGCCCCACCGTGAGCCAACAGCCCCAGTTCTTGTTCCCGGTCCAAACATCCAATTTCAGGCCACAGGGACTGGGTAAAAGAAGGCGGGGGGGGGGAAGAGGGAGAAATGCTCAATTCTATCAACTTGGTGTCAACTCAGGGTTGTCCCATGGGAATTATATCTGCTACGAGGCAAGGAGGCTCTGTAAACTTTATTGCAACTGTTCTGTCTCAATGGCCTACACCTCAACTGGGGGGGGGGATTTGTTGGGGGTTGGTTGTTGGAAGGCTGGAAAACTGGTTCATGCATAAAGTTATTGCCTCTCGTGGCTTTCAGGCCGCCCCGTGCCATGGTACACACCTACCACCAGTGAAGCCATTGAAAATGGACTGAAAATGGGTTAAAGGATGCAGGAGCTCCCGTTAGGGCTATCATCAACTCAGGAATTCTTATCTCGGTTATGAAATGTTGTGATGAAGTTCTTTCCCCAAACCCTGAAGACGACGCTTTTCCTTACTCCAGATCTGGCATTTCTAGAGAGGAAAGAGAAGAGGGAAGAGCATTAGTGGGGTTGGGGTTGGTTTCAAGCCTTGTTTCGTCACCCCCAGCATCAGCTATGGGGCAGCTGAAGGCCTCTGGGTCTGGTTCTTCATAAGGAAGAGCCATGAGCAGGCACTGGAACCACTCCATGAGAAGCCGCCTCCATGGGCAGGGCTGCTCTGAAAGCCAAAGCCTCCCCAGGCCTGCGCTGAGGAGGCCAAACTGGGATTTCAGACTGCTGTGGAAAGGCTTCCATTGGATTACAGCCCTCGGCCAGGCCTGGCATTAGCTCAGAGGCAGGGTTCAGTGAGCGACCCCTCATGGAATCACGCTGGGACAGGACTTACTTTCATCATCACTGTCTGGTGAGTCCTGGGAAGAAGAAGAGACAACGTTAACTGGAGCAGAGCGGGCTTGAAGGAGCCTTTTCCTTCACCACCACCACCCCTCCCACCAGCAGCAAAGGAGCTGCTGTTCCTGCAGCGAACCCTGTGCTGCTGCACAGCACGAGCTCAGTCTGGCCTCACTGGCACCAGGAGCTACGGATCCATCAGTGTGCTCTGGAGCCAGGCTGAGAGAAGGCTCCTTAAGAGGAGACCTGAGAGCAGCTCCAGTGCCTAAAAGGGGTACAGGAAACCTGGAGAGGGGCTTTGGAGCTATTGAAGAGCCTGACCTCGGCACAGAGCAAGGTGTATTTACTACAGAGCACTTACATCATCTGCCCCATCTACTTCTGGCAAGTCTACGTCGTCATCTCCACCCATGTTGTTCATCATCTGCTCCAGAGAGATAAAAGCACGTTAGAGGGTGAAGCAGCACCGCAAGCGCCACTGGGAGGAGGAGGAAGGCTCTGCCCAGAGGGAATCCCAGGGAAGGAAACCCCAAATTCCAGGGATTTGTGCTCCCCTACCTCGGAAAAGCGATCGAAATTGGACATGTCTTCATCTGAGTCATCTTCCCAGTCTTTCCAGTTGTTGAAGTCCACACTGAGCCAGTTGAGCTGCGCAGCAACACAAGGGTGTTAGTGCAGGACAAGCAAGTACCGAGCTGGTACCGTAGGAAGGTAAAGCAGAAGCGCTGCTCTGAGGTGACCCACGAGCCACTGCATCACTTCCCCATCACCCAAATAGGAAACCCCATTGGAAAGCAGGCAGACAAGAGGAGCTGAACCCACCTTTGCCCTCTCTTTCGTTAACCTTGGCCATGCCTGACCGGACTCTCCTTTTCGTAAACAACACAAGATAGATCTGTCTGTTCTTTTATGCTTTGACTCCTGAAAGGGAGGAAAATCCCTGTTAACATCATCCCCCAAAGCTGCTTTGGTCACTTAGCTTCATCCACCAACTTCATCCTTGCCCTAAAGGACACCATCTAGAGATGCTTTCGAGGCCGGAAGCGCCGCCAGCATCCCGAAGGAGCCGCTGTTCCCCAGGACGCAGCCCTAGGAAGCCAGGAGGATACTCACATTTGGATCAATATTGTTAAAAAGGTCGATTTCGTTTAAATGTTTGAAGTTATCGCTTCCTCCAAGACAACTGCGGAGAGAAAACAAGACGTGGTTGGTCCACACCAGCCCCTGCAACAGACACGCTCCATCTGCACGTCAGCACACGCATCACCCAGCCTGCTTCTTGTCTCTCTCCCTGCCCTTCTACCCGTTATCACAGTGGGGCACAAGAGCCCCATGGGATGCTCCAGGCTTGGGGAAGCTCCTCACGGGGAAGGACCAGCACGGATGGAGCTGAACAGGAAGCCCCGAGCAGGGGCAGGGCAGCGGAGCTGGAGCAGGGCCTGGAGCTCAAGCGGGATGGGGAAGGGCTGAGGGAAGCCCTGGCCCCGCACCTGAAGGTGAGTTTGGACTTCTCGAAGTTCACGTTCACGTCCTTGCTGTCCTCCACGCAGAACTCGATGAAGACGTAGTCTCGGCGGTCGTACCACTTGGCGGAGGCGGGCTGCCTGTGGAGGGGGGGGGACAGGGGACAGCCAGGTCAGCTCCCAGAGAGACAACGAAGCCAAGGAGGGACCCCCCCAGAGAGCTCCTTGGTGGAGCCCAGACCCACAGCAACGCAAAATGATGCCAAGCTTTGGGATAAGGGGGGCGGCTGCAGCTCCCCGATGCTTTTTGTCACCCAAGGAACAGGCCCCAAACCCCACTGAGGCTCTGGTTCACGCTCCTGGGGGGGTCCTTTGGCTTCTTCCAAGCACCACGAGCAGCAACAACCAGAAACCACCCCAGGGCTCTCGGGCTGGGCTGATGGTCAGTGCTCTGAGCGAGCCAGATGGGCGCTCACCATGATGCTTATTGCAGCTATAGGGCCTGTGGGGAGCTGAAGCACAACCCCAGCCCTGGATGTGATGCTTCCTGCGCTGAGGAGCGGGTGCTGGGTGCTGGGATCGCTCCCCAGGCGTTTCACCACCACCAACCTGGCTCTAGAGGCATTCCCTTCTCCAGCATTCCAAGGTGCTGGGCTTCCCACTGCAGCCTTGAGGGTGCTGCCCACAGGGTGCAAAGGCAGCAGCAACCCTCAGAGCAGCGTTGCAGGACAAGGCATCACTTCCACAGGGGGTGAAAGAGAACGATTTCCTCCAGCACAGTTCCCATTCCCAACCTTTTATCCGGGTTTTCCAAGCTCAAATTCTTCCTTTAAGAGGGTGAAAACTTTCTCTTGGCCGTGAGTGAGGCCTGACCATTCAGCACCGCTAACACGGGATACCTGGAGCTGCAAACTCAACTCTGGGATGAGATGGATGCCGACATCCCAAGGAGACTCCACACACAGGGAAGCTGCTGGTGGAGCCTTCACGTGCTCCGAGTGCGTCAGGAGATGCTCCTGCATCCCCAGGGCATTTGCTGGTTCCTTACAGAAGCTCCAAAAGGAGCCCAATGCTTCCTCCTTCCTCAGCCAACCTCATCCCAGGAGCCCAAGGGCTTTGGCTGGGACCATTCCCACGTCCTCAAGGGGTTTTAGGCCTCTCTGAAGCACACGGGTTCATTCAAACACTGCCTTACCCCGTGCACCAACACAGCCCAGGGAACATCTCCTGTGCTCCACGGAAGGGGTTGGAAGGGACCTTAAAACTCATCCAGTCCCAACCCCTGCCACGGGCAGGGGCACCTTCCACTGGAGCAGGGGGCTCCAACCTGGCCCTGAGCACTGCCAGCGATGGAGCATCCAAACCTTCTCCATTCAACCCATTCCAGCGCCCCAGCACCCTCACACTATGGAGCTTCTGCCTTGTATCCAACCTGAACTCCCCCTGTTCCACTCTGAACCCATCACCCCCTGTCCCATCGCTCCAGTCCCTGATGCAGGTCCCTCTCCAGCATCCTTGTACCCCCCTTCAGGCACTGGAAGCTGCTCTGAGCTCCCCACGCAGCTTCTCTGCTCCAGCCCCAATGCTCTCAGCCTGGCTCCTATGGGAGCTGCTCCAGCCCCTGAGCATCCTCGTGGCCTCCTCTTGCTCCAACAGCTCCATGTCCTCATGTTGGGGCACCAGGGCTGCTCCCTGCAATTCCCATCTCCCTGCCTCTTCCAGTCACCCATTGAGAAGACAATCCCAGGACTGCAGAAGAGCTTCCAGGAGCTCCGGAGCCACGCTCAGGCGCAGCTTTGCCCATGACACCTCAATGGAACCCACCTCCAGCTTAGCCACAGAGCTCAATTACTGCCTGGGGCCATCCAACCCCCTCCTTGGGTGTCCTGTGCACTCCGGATCCCGGGTTCATTTCCTGGGACGCATCCCGACCATTCATAGAGCTTGAGGATGCTGCAGGATGAGCTTTTCAACCTCCACGCGTCGGGGGTGGAATCGGCGTCGCTGCTCCCTAAAAACCCCGTCGTTCCCACCGGGAATCCCGGCGGTTTTCCCAGCGAATCCCGTCGCTTACCCCCCCCCACAAGGAACCCTGCTGCTGCTGCTCCATCGTTTTCCCTAATGAAACCTGTCAACAGTGGGGTAACGGGGGGCTCCCAGCAGCACCCATCACCCCTTATTCCCTCCACAGCTTCCATGAGCTATTCCCAAACACAGGTTAATGGAATAGGGCTGGGAAAGCAGCGGGAAGGTGCCACTGATGCAGATCCAGGCTCTCGGAGCAGTGGCTGGTAGGAGGCAAAGAGCCCCCCCTCCCCTTCAGGGCTTCCCACCAGCACATCCCTTTGGATCCAGCTGGAAGATGCCAGAATCCATCCCCATCCCGCTGTGAAGGGAAGCCCTGGGGTGCTGAAGGACGTGACACCCTGCACTGGAGTCATCCAGGCTGGAAGCGGGTGTCCTTTGGGACAGGAAGGAAAGGAGGGAAGAGGCTCCTGGGACAGGGTATCGGGCTGCGATCTTCCCGGGAGGAAGGTTCCACCCTGGGCCCTCGGCACCGGGAGCACTGGGTGTTTTCACCAACAATAAGCCACAACTTTTATTCCCGGATAGAAATAGTACAAATTTTAAACGCAGTCGCATTTGAACTCTTCTCTGAAACACCAAAAAAGGCTCCTCCATCCCACAGCTACATCGTCAACTCCTGTGGAGAGAAGGGAATGTGGGGATCCACGCCACGGCAGCCCCACAGCGGCAGCGGGAGACCCCCGTGGTGCCGGTCCCCATCCCAGCAGGAGCCCTCGCCGGGGCTGGCACTCACCATGATGGCATTTACAATGTCGTTACTGTTGTTCTTGAGGGCACGCACGGCCTTTGCTCGGGACACGTTCGCCTGCGACATCACCAGCTCGATGTCTTTCACCTCGACGCCGGTTTCGTCAACCTAAAGGAGCAGGGAATGAGGGAAGGAACCAGGTTGGGAAAGAGCCATGCCACCCAGAGCCTCATCTACATGGCTTGGGAACACCTCCAGGCATGCTTACTCAACCCCTGACAAACAGGATTGGCTTTGGACTTGTGCAAGGTGTTTGTCCCTGTCCCCCATGTCCCTCGTCTTTAAACACGTGGATGTGAGGGATGGGCAACCCAGGGGATAAGGAACAGGCTGGATGGCTGCAGTGGATGCTGGAGAGCGACCCTGGTCAGGAACTGGAGAGACAGGATAAGGGGTGACGGTTTCAGACTGGAACAGGGGAGTTCAGGCTGTATCTAAGGCAGAAGTTCTTTAGTGTGAGCGTGTCGGACACTGGGATGGGTTGAATGGAACAAGTTTGGATGCCCCATCCCTGGCAGTGTTCAAAGCCAGGCTGGATGGGGCTTGGAGCAAGCTGCTCTAGTGGCAGGTGTCCCTGCCCCGTGGCAGGGGTTGGATGAGCTTTAAGCTCCTTTCCAGTCCAAACCATTCCATGATTTTATGAGTGTCCTGATGGTGGCAGCTCCCCCACGCTCCCAGGCCACAAAGAGAGGAGCTGGGAGGGAAGCCAGGGCAATGGGGACCTGCTCCTGCCCCTGCCCCATCCCTTTGCCATGGAAAACACAACAGAAGGAAAGCAAAGCAGGGGAATGCCCAGGGCTGGGCTCTGTCATTCCAAGCTCACCTCTTCCTCCTCACTCTCCTCCTGCACCGTGGGGGTCTGTGTGTTTTCCTGGATGTTTGAAACGGCTTCTCCCTGCACTTTGAACTTCTCAGCAGCTGCCAACTGGGCCTGTTGGGACAGGTCTTCGATCTGGCAGAGGGAAGAAGAAGTGAGACAGAGCAGGACACAGAGATCCTCATTCCCCACACTCCCCAGTGCATCCAGCTCTGCTCATAGGACCCCCAGGATCCATGTGGCAAGGTGGAACCCCCATGAGGGGGCCACCAGCGGGGTCACGTCACCTTTGCTTCGCCAAAGACTATGTAGGTGTCTGAAGCAGGGCTCTTGTACACGTCTGGCTTTGTGATGACAAAGAGGATGTTCTTGGATTTGCGGATGGTGACTCTGGTTACTCCTGTCACCTGGCGAAGGCCCAGCTTGGACATTGCCTGAAGAACCAGGAGAGAAAGGGAAGGGGGGCAAAGGAGTGACTGAGACAGAGCAGCCTGAGGAACGTGTCCATAGGGTCATGGAATGGGTTGGGTTGGATGGGACCTTAAAGCTCATCCAGTTCCAACCCCTGCCACGGGGCAGGGACACCTTCCACTAGAGCAGCTTGCTCCAAGCCCTGTCCAACCTGGTTTGAACACTGCCAGGGACGGAGCATCCAAACCCTTCTCCATTCAACCCATTCCAGGCTCCCCTACAGGGAAGAGCCTCCTTAGATCCAACGTTCTCAGCCTGGCTCCATACGGGAGCTGCTCCAGCCCCTGCTCCTCTGCTCTCCAGAGACCTGTGCCCACGGATTAGGGCCTCACCCAATGTGGCTTTCCTGCTGCAGAGCAGCATTCCCAGGCTTTTAGCCAGGAGCTTGGGAGGGAATTCACTTCCCAGCCCAACCCTCGGCCCCCAGCCACGAGGAGTTTGCATCCCTCTGCCCGAGGGCCAGACAGGGGACCCAGAGCCAGCACGGGGCGATGCTGTGCCATCCATCCCTGAATCCCTCCTCACCTTCCGTGCTTTCTTTTCACTCCGGCTCTGTTTCGCTTTGCTGACGGGTTCTTCATCTATCTCAGCTGCTGCTGCAAGCTGCAAGGACAGAGAACAGGAGGGATCACGGCAATCCTGGTGGATCCCACCACCACCCCTGCCACCCTCCCTACCTGTGCCTGCTGTGTCGTGGCCTGTGTGGAGTCTTGCTCTTCGAGCTCTGGTACGGATTCATCGCTGTCAGACTCTGTTCCGGACCCTACGGACCAAACTCAAGTCACTTCCTGCACCTCAGCTCAGGGCTGCACCAAGAGCCGGGAGCCACATGCCAAGGTTTCCACTCAGCGCAGTGAATCTGGTGTCAAACCGGTTCAGGCAGCACCTGGAGCTCAGCTCCACAGCACAGGGACGGAAGCCAACTCCTGCTGCCCCGTTCCACAGCTTCCCTACGAGGAGTGACCCTGCAGGAGCATCTCTGGATGCTCGCCTTGGCTCCTGCTCGGGAAGCACAAGCCGTGTCTGAGCACAGAGCCGGGTGTCTCCGGGTGACCACAACGCCCTCTCATGCACCATTACCTCCATTCGGTCCCGTGTCCTCCTCCACAAAGCTCCACACAGGAGCCCTCCGGGATCCCAAGAGCTCGGGCAGGCAACGGAGCCTCCCCGGAGCCTGGTTTGGCCCCAGCTCCTCCTGGCTGACGGGACCAGGCCCGTGAAGCCAGCTCCGGCTGAGCCATGCCACAAGCCACACCGTGCCCTGAGCACACGCTGTTAGTGCCCCTGGGCCCTGATCCCATGGGATACATCCCCTCCCTGTCCCCCAGCTCTGGCACGGCTCAGACCTGCCCCCCCCACACCCCTTCCCTGGAGAGCCCAACACACCAAGTGCCATGGGGGGGGCGGGTTAGTATCCAGGCAGTGCCACTCCATGCACACAGCAATCCGTGGGGACAAATACCCTTGTCATTCCTGAGGCCGGGCTGCTTGGCCGGAGCAGGAGCCTCGGGGGGGGCCACGGCTGCTCGGGGGCACAGATCCACCAGGATGGGCTGCACCGGCGGCTCGGCAGCGGGAGGCTCGGGGGGGATCAGGGGGGGCAGCTCCTCGTCATCGTTGTCATTGGGGATGGAGGGGGGGGCTTTGGTGCTGGGTTTGGATGGGGACGGGCGCTTGGAGGCCTTGCCGGGGCTCTGCTTCTTCACGGGGGGAGCGGGAGGGGGCACAGAGCCACCCGTGGCCTCCTGGGGAGCAGCGGCGTCAGGAGGTGGCTTCTGGGGGGCACCAGGAACCCCCGGGGCTGGGGGTGCAGAGGGGGCTCCTGGAGCTGCACTGGGGCTCACGGGAGCTGCCTTGGCTGGGGCTGATGGAGCAGTGCCTGGGCTCACAGGAGCTGCCTTGGCTGCAGGAGGTGATGGAGCAGTGCCTGGGCTCACAGGAGCTGCCTTGGCTGCAGGGGGGGCAGCAGGAGGTGATGGAGCAGTGCCCGGGCTCACAGGATCTGCTTTGGCTGCAGGAGCTGATGGAGCAGTGCCTGGGCTCACAGGAGCTGCCTTGGCTGGGGCTGATGGAGCAGTGCCCGGGCTCACAGGAGCTGCCGTGGCTGGAGCTGGGCTGGCTGCATCGGGGCTCTTTGGAGGTGCTTTGGCAGCAGCAGGAGCTGCTGTGGCTGTGGCTGATGGAGCAGTGCCTGGGCTCACAGGAGCTGCCTTGCCTGCAGGGGGGGCAGCGGGAGCTGGGGTGGCTGCACCGGGACTCTTGGGTGGTGCTTTAGCCACAGGGGGGGCAGCAGGAGCCGGTGCAGCCGCCGGCACTGGAGCAGCAGCAGTGGAGCTGCTCTTGGGAGGCTTTTTGGCTGCAGGGGGAGCAGGAGCTGGGGGAGCCACAGTGGCAGGGGCCGAGGGAGCAGGGATCGGGCTCACAGGAGCCCCTTTGGCTGCAGGAGGGGCTGAGGGAGCAGGGCCAGGGCTCACAGGAGCCCCTTTGGCTGCAGGAGGGGCTGAGGGAGCAGGGCCAGGGCTCACAGGAGCCCCTTTGGCTGCAGGAGAGGCTGAGGGAGCAGGGACTGGGCTCGTGGGAGCTGCTTTGGCTGCAGGAGGGGCTGAGGGAGCAGGGACCGGGCTCCCAGGGGCTGGTGGCGCTGGGGGCACAGGCAGGGAGGGGGCAGCAGCAGGGCCCACAGGGGCTGCAGTGGCAGCAGCAGGGACAGGGCTCACAGGAGCAGGTTTGGCTGCAGGAGGGGCAGGAGCTGCAGTGGCAGCAGCAGGAGCAGCAGGGGCAGGGCTCACAGGAGCAGGTTTGGTTGCAGGAGGGGCAGGAGCTGCAGTGGCAGCAGCAGGAGCAGCAGCAGGGGCAAGGGTCACAGGAGCCGGTTTGGCTGCAGGAGCTGCAGTGGCAGCAGCAGGAGGAGCAGGGGCAAGGGTCACAGGAGCCGGTTTGGCTGCAGGAGCTGCAGTGGCAGCAGCAGGAGGAGCAGCAGGCGCAGGGACAGGGCTCACGGGGGCTGCTTTGGCTGCAGGAGGGGCAGGAGCTGCCATCGCTGGTGGGACAGGCGGGGAGGTGGCAGTGCCAGGGCCCACAGGAGCTGCTTTGGCTGCAGGAGGAGCAGGAGCAGGGACAGGGCCCTCAGGAGCTGCTTTGGCTGCAGGAGGAGCAGGGACAGGGCCCTCAGGAGCTGCTTTGGCTGCAGGAGGAGCAGGGACAGGGGCTTGAGGAGCTGCTTTGGCTGCAGGAGGAGCAGGAGCAGGGACGGGGCCCTCAGGAGCTGCTTTGGCTGCAGGAGGAGCAGCAGCAGGGACAGGAACAGGGCCCTCAGGAGCTGCTTTGGCTGCAGGAGGAGCAGCAGCAGGGACAGGGCCCACAGGAGCTGCTTTGGCTGCAGGAGGAGCAGCAGCAGGGACAGGGACAGGGCCCTCAGGAGCTGCTTTGGCTGCAGGAGGGGCAGCAGCAGGGACAGGGCCCTCAGGAGCTGCTTTGGCTGCAGGAGGGGCAGCAGCAGGGACAGGGCCCTCAGGAGCTGCTTTGGTTGCAGGAGGAGCAGGGACGGGGCCCTCAGGAGCTGCTTTGGCTGCAGGAGGGGCAGCAGCAGGGACAGGGCCCACAGGAGCTGCTTTGGCTGCAGGAGGAGCAGCAGCAGGAGCAGGGACGGGGCCCTGAGGAGCTGCTTTGGCTGCAGGAGGAGCAGCAGCAGGGACAGGAACAGGGCCCTCAGGAGCTGCTTTGGCTGCAGGAGGAGCAGCAGCAGGGACAGGGACAGGGCCCACAGGAGCTGCTTTGGCTGCAGGAGGAGCAGCAGCAGGGACAGGAACAGGGCCCTCAGGAGCTGCTTTGGCTGCAGGAGGAGCAGCAGCAGGGACAGGGACAGGGCCCACAGGAGCTGCTTTGGCTGCAGGAGGAGCAGCAGCAGGAGGAGCAGGGACCGGGCTCCCAGGAGCTGCTTTGGCTGCAGGAGGAGCAGCAGCAGGGACAGGGCCCTGAGGAGCTGCTTTGGCTGCAGGAGGAGCAGCAGCAGGAGTAGCAGGGACAGGGCCCTCAGGAGCTGCTTTGGCTGCAGGAGGAGCAGCAGCAGGGACAGGGCCCTCAGGAGCTGCTTTGGCTGCAGGAGGAGCAGCAGCAGGGACAGGAACAGGGCCCTCAGGAGCTGCTTTGGCTGCAGGAGGAGCAGCAGCAGGGACAGGAACAGGGCCCTGAGGAGCTGCTTTGGCTGCAGGAGGAGCAGCAGCAGGAGGAGCAGGGACCGGGCTCCCAGGAGCTGCTTTAGGCGCAGCTGCCACTGTGGGTGTGAGAGGGGCCGGGGGCACAGGGGGTGCCGCTGGGGACATGGGACTCAGTGGAGCTGCTGGGGGTGGCCCTGGGGGAGATGGGGCAGGTGCCAGAGAGGGCACGGGCAGGGCAGGGCCCAGGGGACAGGTACTGGCAGCAGCAGGAGCCCCAGGGGCCGCGGCGGCAGCAGAACCCCCCGGTGACATCCCTGGGGGTGACAGTGGGGCCCTGGGGGCAGCCAGGAAGGCAGGAGGGGGGGGCGGGCCCTGGGGACAAGCTGCAGCCTTGGGGGGCACAGTGGGAGCAGGCAGGAAAGGGGGGGACACCGGGGGGGGAGGTGACACAAGGGGAAGGGAAGGGGGAGGTGGGAGAGGGGTGGCAGGGGGGGAGAGCGCTGCGGGGGGAGCACCAGGGCTGAGGGGGGGGGGCACCGTCACAGCAGCAGCAGGAGGAGCAGGGGCCACTGGAGACACTGGGTTAACTGGGGCAGGCCCTGGAGAGCCTGGGGCTGGAGGGGGGGCAATGGTAACCGGGACCTGCAGAGCTGGGGCAGGGAGCTGCGGGGGGACAGAGAACACGGGGATGGCCGCAGCTGGGACCACAGCGGGGGAAATGGGGGCTGGGGGGAGCAGCAGAGCAGTGGTGGGACTGGGCAGCTCTGCTGGGAGAGCCTGGGCTGGGGTCAGGGCTGGGGAGGGAGCAGCGAGAGGAACAGCTACAGGAGAGAAAGAGAGTGAACCCATGAGAGAAGGGAGCAGGGGGGACACACGGCCCTGGCCCCCCCCACCCCACCCCAGCAGAAGAGCATCACCCAATGCACCAGCACAGGCAGGACCTTCATCCCCTTCTAGGGACCAGCACAAGGCCCTGGGCTCCCCCACTCAAACCTTGGCATTTGGGAATGCCGGGCTCTGCCCTTGGCTCTTCCCTCCCAGAGGGGTTGTCCCAAGCTCCACAGAGGCCTGGCCAGACCCCAGGGCTGGGAAGCACTGGGATGAGGATCCACTGAGGGTTCGAATCCAACTCTGGCAGAGCCCCCTCCGGCCTTGTGGGACATGGGATGCTGAGTCCTGGTTCCATGCAGTGACCTGCCCCCCCACGTGCAGGCTGTTAAGGGTTAATGTAACTGCACCCCCTGTCCCTCCCCCAGAACAACAAACTCTGGTTACGGTGCCACACGAGGGGTTAAAGTGGGTCCCCAGTACCTGGCGCTGGGACAGGAGCAGTGCCAGGGGCTGCGGGGTGAGAACAACGCGTTAAGACAAGCAGCGATGGGAGCATCCCAACACCATTCCCAACACCAGCTGGTGATCAAAGGGAAGCGCTCAGGGGAGAGGCTGTCAGAGCAGCCAGTCTGACCAGTGGAACCAGCACCCGTGCTGGCTGGGAGAGTGGAACCTGCCCAGCCCCACGCAGGGCATCACCCAGAGCCCGGAGGCAGTGACCCAACACCCTCAGCTCGCTGCTCCCCGGAGCAGCACCACGTGTGGAGGCCTCAGAGCCTCCTCTGCGGTCTGAGTTGGAAGGGACCTTAAAGCTCATCCAGGTCCCAACCCCTGCCAGGGGCAGGGGCACCTTCCCCTGGAGCAGGGTGTTCCAACCTGGCCCTGAGCACTGCCAGCGATGGAGCATCCAAACCTTCTCCATTCAACCCATTCCAGGGTCCCAGCACCTTCACACTACAGAGCTTCTGCCTTGTATCCAACCTGAACTTCCCCTGTTCCACTTTGAACCCATCACCCCCTGTCCCATCGCCCCAGTCCCTGATGCAGGTCCCTCTCCAGCATCCCTCTGAGCTCCCCACGCAGCTTCTCTGCTCCAGCCCCAATGCTCTCAGCCTGGCTCCTATGGGAGCTGCTCCAGCCCCTGCTCATCCTCGTGGCCTCGCTCCAACAGCTCCATGTCCTCATGTCATTATGTCTTAGTCACTTCCCGAGCCTATCCCAGTGGGAAGAGATGGGAACCCACCGGAGGCAACAGGCACCAGGCCACGTCCTGCCCCAGGGAAGGAACGTGCTCCAGGCAGGAGCAACAACCCCTGGCGAGGGCTGCGCTGCTCCCGAGCCCCGCACACACACAGCGGCCCCCTCCGGGCAGCCCCTTTCCCCCCACCGGCTCCCTTTGAGGCTGCTCCCAGCTGGGAATGGGGAGGACGCTGGGAAGCGGCCCCAGCGCAGGAATCCCAGCGATTCCTGGAGGGAGCCCAGGAGCGCAGCGGCTCCGGATGCTCGGCACTGCAGCTGCCACAGCAAGAGCCGTCACTCAGCCCCACATTCCCTCCTGATCCCCACATCCACAGACGCCGCTCGCAGGGAAAGCCATGGAATGAGCCAGGCTGGGGAAGAGCAGGGGCCCTGCTGCCACGCTCCCGTTCAGCGCCAGCAGCGCAACTCCTTTCCCCGGAGCAGCTTCCCCAAGCCTGCAGCATTCCATGGGCTATTCCTGGGATGCACCAAAGCCAGGCAGCCCCAGGGCACGGGGACCCCTCCGATGGAGCCAGGCAGAGCCTGAGCCCTGCTCCCCAACCCCAACCGGTTCCAGCGCTTGGAGGCCTCCTGACCCCCCCCCCCCGGCCCATCCCCATCGCTCCAATGACACCCGAGGGGGCTGCGACACGGGGGGGGGTCCCCCAACGCAATGACTCCAACAGCCGGGTTTGGGACGGGGGGGAACAACCGAACACGGCAGCAACGAGCAACCCCCCCCGGGGGTCAAGCTCCCCCCGTTAACACCGACCGGCTGCGGGGCCCGGTGTGTGTCCGGCCTCACCTGTCTCAGCCTGCGGCTGCGGCAGCTCCTGCTCGGTGGCCGGGACGGTTTCTGTCGCTTCGCCGGGCATTTCTGCGGAGAGGGAGAACGCACCATGGCCGGGGGCCGCCCGCCGCCACCGGCTACCGGACACCCCGCTACAGGCCGCGTTCTACCGGCCCTCCCGGCCCCAGCGGCCCGGCTCCCGCTGTCCTCCCGCCCGCCCTCCCTCCCTCCCTCCAGCCCGCCCGGGGGCGGCCCGTAAGGGGCTATCGGCCCCCGCCGAGGCGCCGGAGCGGCGGATGGCGGCGGATGGCGACAGATGGCGGCGGATGGACTCACTGTGCGGGGAGCAGGGTCCAAGATGGCGGCGGAAAGAGAGCGAGCGGCTGGATGCGGGACTTCCGGGAGGATGAGCACATCCGGGGCACGGGGCCCCGCTCCGGCCACCGCGCTCCTGCGTTCCGGGTTCTTTCCGTTCCGCCCCCCCCCCCCCCTTCCCTCCGTGTGGGGCTGGGACCACCGGTGTGGGGCCGAACCCCCGCTATAGGGCAGGGTATGGGGAGCAGCAGCCCCACAAGCCCAAGACAGAGGCAGGTCCCGGGCGCAGGCAGGCGGTGAATGGGGACATTTAATGGTGTTTGCGTAGAAAAGGGACAAAACCAGAGAAGGGTCCGTGTGGGGCAGGGGGAGTGGGGCAGGGACCGGGATGTGGCTCCGGGCACCGGAGGGGAGGATGGCGGAGGCCTCAGAAGTCTCCTTGCAGGTCTGTAATGAGGAGAGACAGGGAGGTTTGTAGCCAAGAGCTCCCATTCGGGTCCCATTCAAGCTCCCATTGGGGGTCCCATTCAAGCTCCCATTGGGGGTCCCATTTCGGTCCCATTCAGCTCCCATTGGGGTTCCCATTCAGCTCCCATTGGGGCTCTCATTCAGCTCCCCATTTGGGTCCCATTTGGGCTTCCACTGGGGCTTCCATTGGGGCTCCCACTGGGGTTCCCATTCGGGTCCCATTTGGCTCCCACTGCAGCTCTCATTCAGGTCCCGTTCAGCTCCCCATTCGGGTCCCATTTGGGCTCCCATTGGGGTTCACATTCAGGTCCCATTGGGGTTCCCATTCAGCTCGCCATTCTGGTCCCATTCAGCTCCCATTGGGGCTCTCATTCAGGTCCCATTCAGCTCCCATTGCGGCTTTCATTCTGCTCTCATACAGGTCCCATTGGGGCTCCCATTCTGGTCTCGTTCAGGCTCCCATTTGGGTCCCATTCAGGTCCCATTGGGGCTCTCATTCTGCTCCCATTCTGGTCCCATTCAGGTCCCATTCTGCTCCCATTCAGGTTCCCATTGGGGCTCCCATTCTGCTCCCATTCTGCTCCCACTGGGGCTCCCATTCTGCTCCCATTCAGGTCCCACTGGGGCTCCCATTCTGCTCCCATTCAGGTCCCACTGGGGCTCCCATTCTGGTCCTGTTCAGGCTCCCATTTGGGTCCCATTGGGGCTCTCATTCTGCTCCCATTCAGGTTCCCATTGGGGCTCCCAGTCTGCTCCCATTCAGGTTCCCATTGGGGCTCCCATTCTGCTCCCATTCAGGTCCCATTGAGGCTCTCATTCTGCTGCCATTATGGTCCTGTTCAGGCTCCCATCCTGCTCCCATTCAGGTCCCATCCGGCTCCCATCCTGCTCCCACTCTGCTCCCATTCAGGACCAATTCTGCTCCCATTTGGCTCCCATCCTGCTCCGGTGCAGCACAGCCCCTCGCTGGCACCCACCGCTCCTCCTCCGCATCTCCCCCCTCCGCGCTCGCTCCATGTCCTCCACGAAGTGCTCGAAGAGCCGCACGTAGGGCGCCAGGCTCGTCCTCTTGTAGTCTGCAGGAGGTGGGGCTGAGCAGGAGCCATGGGGGGAGCCCCCCCATTGCCCCCCCAGGTCACACTCACCCCGCGCGCGCCGCTTGGGCTCCGTCTCCGCTCCATCCTCCTGCTCCCCGTCGGCACCGGCCGCATCCAGCTCGTGGCACAGGGAGCTGCGGGCAAGGCCGTCATGGGCTGCGAGGTCTTCTCCAACCCGGTTCATTCGGTGATGGGACCTAGGGGGGGCCCCTGGGGGCAGAGCCAGGCCCCACTGCTCATCACATACCTGATGGTGGGGACGGTGAAGGGGTCGAACTGGTCGAGCTTCTGCAGGTCCAGGGGTACCGAAATGCGACCTGAAGGAGAGCAGTCATGGGGCTGCTGGCCCTATGGGATGCTGTCCCTATGGGATGCTATTCCTATGGGATGCAATTCCTATTAGGATGCTATCGCTATGGAATACTATCCCTATGGGATGCTATCCCTATGGGATGCAATTCCTATTAGGATGCTATCCCTACTGGGATGCCATCCCTATGGAATGCTCTCCCTATTGGGATGCTCTCCCTATGGAATGCCATTCCTATTGGGATTCTCTCCCTATTGGGATGCTCTCCTTATGGAATGCTATCCCTATTGGGACGCCCTCCCTATGGGATGCTCTCCTTATGGAATGCTATCCCTATTGGGATGCCCTCCCTATGGGATGCTCTCCTTATGGAATGCTATCCCTATTGGGACGCCCTCCCTATGGGATGCTCTTCCTATTGGGACGCTCTCCCTATGGGATGCTATCCCCATTGGGGTGCTCTCCCTATGGGATGCTCTCCCTATTGGGACGCTCTCCCTATGGGATGCTATCCCCATTGGGATGCTCTCCCTATGGGATGCTATTCCTATTGGGATGCTATCCCTGCGCGGTGCCATCCCCACCCCAGACCAACCTGTTTTGGGGTGGACGCTGAAGGGGCTCTTCAGAAGGTGCCCGACCCCTTTGCTGACGTTGATGTCGAGGCGGGGGAAGCAGAACTGCAGCATCACCTCCCAGTCCGCGAAGCACGAGGTGCCCTTCCCGGCCGCTGCCTGCTTCTGTGGGGCACACGTGTGGGGCAGGGGCAGTGGGGTGGGTGCTGGTGCCCGGCCCCTGGTCCCTGGATGGGGTCACACTCACCCGTGTCCGCTCCATGCAGCCCTTGAGCAGCTCCCAGCGCTGCACCGAGTCCCGCTTCTTGGGGAACTCGGCCTGCAGCGCCTCGCGGTGCTGTGGGCAGGGTCAAGGCTGCTCACGGACAATGGGAGACCCAGGGCATTGGGGTGGGAGGGAGGGACCTTAAAGCTCATCCAGCTCCACGGGCAGGGACACCTTCCACCGGAGCAGGGTGCTCCAAGCCTGGCCTTGAGCACCGCCAGGGATGGTGACTCCATCATCCCCTGGGTACCCTGTTCCAGGGCCTGAGCATCCTCTGGGGTGACCCCGTTCCCCCCCTCTCGGACCCATCCAGCACCGAGCACTGCGGCATGCCCCCCACAGGAAGGATATCCTCCGGGATGAGGGCCAGCACCTTGTCCCAGCTCTCCGGGCTGCCCAGGATATCCTGCCCCACCAGTGCGTAGCTCTCAAAGTACTTCTCCACCACAGCGACCGAGCGCCTGTGGAGCAGGGAAGAGGCTCAGCACCACTCAGCATCACTCAGCACCACTCAGCATCACTCAGCACCACTCAGCATCACTCAGCACCACTCAGCATCACTCAGAACCAGGGAAGGGGGTCCCCAGCCGACCTGATGAAGGGGTGGATGGGCTCGGACAGGTTCACCTTCTTCACGGTCTCTGCTCCACCCTGGGGGGGACAGCGATGCTCAGCGGGTTGGGGGGCCGTAAGGGGGGTGCCCGGCTCCCCATGCACCCACCTTCACCAGGGTCAGGTACTCCACAGTGGCCGCCCGCAGCGCTGGGGACCACTTGCGCACGGCATCATCGCACACCCAGCAGTGGACACCCCTCCGGCCCGAGTACACCCACAGGCGATGCTTCAGCCCCAGGTCCTCTACGGAGGGGACAGCGGGAGCGTGTTGGGATGCGGCATTCCCAACCCAACCCCATCGGACACCACCACATCCACGGGTGCATGAGGGGTCCCCAGGACCCTCACCCACGAGTGCACGGTCGATGATGCGGACGGCGATGGTCATCAGGGTCCAGCACTTGGAGCAGATATCGGCGGAGCTGTGGGCAGAGAGCAATGGGTCAGGCTGCACCCCCTGCCCCTGCAACCCCCCCTTTTATCCCTTTCCAGCTCTCCCGGCTCCTATGGGGAACCTGCAGCACGTCCGGACGTCGTCGTAGTCCGTCATGTCGATATCAAAGACCAGCTCCTTCTCCTGCGGCTGGAAGGCTCCCAGGTGCACCGTGTTGTGCTGGTTGGGCTGCGGGATGGGATGGGAATGGGCTCAGCGCCACCGGGGCCCGGTTCCCCTTGGGGTGCCCGGATCAAGGACTCACCCGGTGGGAGTAGACGGCGCCGATGTCGATCTTGTAGGGGTTGGTTTTCTGCAGCTCCCGCTCCAGCTCCTGGGGGCTGCCGAAGGACTGGAAGCGCACGTAGACATCATCCCGCAGCGTGAAGGAGAACTCCCGCAGCTGGAAGTAGTTCTTCACCACTGCAGGGGGGTGGGAGGAGGGTTGCAGGGTACCCCCGGCTGGTACCACAGCCCCCCGGGACCTGGTATTGGAGCCTCCAACCCGGTACCACAGCCCCAGCCTGGTCACACAGCCCTGACCCGGTCCCGCAGCCTCTGGGACCCAGGACTGCAACCCCCAGTACCCGGTACCGCATCCCGAGGCCGGTACCACAGCCCCAACCTGGTCCTGAAGCTCCCAGGACCCGGTCCCGCGTCCCCAAACCGGTCCTGCAGCCCCGACCCAGTATCACAGCCGTGATTCGGTCCCGGAGCCCCGACCTGGTTCCACATCCCCAACCTGGTCCCACATCCCCAACCTGGTCCCACAGCCCCAACCTGGTCCCACAGCCCCAACCTGGTCCCGCAGCCCCAACCTGGTCCCGCAGCCCCAAATTGGTCCTGCAGCCCCGACCCGGTTCCGCAGCCCCGACCCGGGACCCGGGACCGCAGTCCTGGCCCAGTATCACAGCCCCAACCCAGTCCCGCATCCCCAACTCGGTCCCGCATGCCTAACCCGGTACCCGGGACCGCAGTCCCGACCCGGTCCCGCATCCCCAACTCGGTCCCGCATGCCTAACCCGGTACCCGGGACCGCAGTTCCGACCCAGTATCACAGCCCCAGCACGGAACCGCAGGCCCGACCTGCTTCTGCATCCCCAACCCGGTCCCGCATCCCCAACCCAATTCCGCAGCCCCAGTCCGGTCCCGCAGCCCCCGGGACCGCAGTCCCGACCCAGCATCAGAGCCCCAGCCGGGTCCCGCATCCCCGCCCCGCTCCCGCATCCCCGTCCCGGTACCCCAGCCCCGCTCCCGCACCCCGCTCACCGCCGCCGTAGCCGAGCCAGCGGCCGTAGGCTCCGTGCGGGAAGAGGCGCCGGTAGAAGACCGGGAGCAGCTCGGGCAGCGCCGAGGGTTCGAACCGCGCCATGGCGGGCGGGAAGCGGCGGGAAGCGGAGCGCGGGGACCGCCGGGAGGTGTAGTCCGGCCCCGGAGGAGGAGGGGGGGCAGCGGCTCGAGTCACGTCGGGGGAAGACCCAGGGGGTCCCGGGATGCTCGGGGCGGTCCCGGGATGCTCGGGGCGGTCCCGGGGCGGCAGCGCATGGGGGGGGTGGTGCGGGAAGCCCCGGGGCTGCCCCGCTCCGCGTTAACGATTACCCCGACGGGCGCACGGAGCGGGGCTGAGCCCGCAAGGCCGGGGCGGGGATGGGCAGGACCGGGGCGGGGCGGGGCGGGGGAGCGGCCGTTTTTAAGGAGCCGGTATCGCTGGAGCGGGGCCCGAGGGGTTTTTTTGATCGCTGAGAACGGAGCCCGGTCCCGGTTGCGCTGCGGGTGCCGGTGCGGGGATGTGGGCGTACGTGGTGGCAGCGCTGGCGGCGCTGTTCCTGCTGCGGCGCTGGTACCGGGAGCGCCAGACGGTGCCGGGGCTCCCGGAGAAGTTCGTGCTCATCACGGGCTGCGACAGCGGCTTCGGGAACCTCCTGGCGCGGCAGTTGGATGCGCGGGGGCTGCGGGTGCTCGCTGCGTGCCGGAGCGAGGACGGGGCCGCGCGGCTGCGGGCGGCTGCGTCCCCCCGACTGCAGACCCTGCTCCTGGACGTCACCTCCAGCCCCAGCATCGCTGCTGCCGCCGCATGGGTCAAGGAGCGAGTGGGTGACCGAGGTAGGATGGGGCAGCGCCGCTGAAGGGACCCCTCCTGTATGGGGATACCCATGGGTAGGGCCCGGCTCACCCCGTCCCCTCTCCTCCGCAGGGCTCTGGGGGCTGGTGAACAACGCGGGTGTCGGCACCCCCAGCGCCCCCAACGAGTGGCTGAGCAAGGACGACTTCCTCAAGGTGATCAACGTCAACCTCATCGGCCTCATCGAGGTGACGCTCAGCGTCCTGCCCCTCGTGCGGCGGGCGCAGGGCCGCGTGGTCAACGTGGCCAGCGTGATGGGCCGCGTCTCCTTCTTCGGTGGGGGGTACTGCATCTCCAAGTTCGGCGTGGAAGCCTTCTCCGACAGCCTCCGGTGAGCATCGCCCCGGTGTCCCCATTCGCCTCTGTGGGCGCTTTGTCTGGTAGGGCACCCACCTGCCAAACCTCTTCCTGGTGCAGCCAGGGCGAGCTTGCGCCATAGCTACAGGGCTTGGGGCCCATGGGAGGGATCTCTCAGCCTTTCCCTGCCTCTGGCAGCCTCTGCTCTGCCCTCAGCCAAGCGCATGCAGAGGCAGCCCCAAGTAAGAGAAAGCAAAAGGACTTGGCAGCACTTTGACTTCATTCCTGCAGCGTAGGCTGCGCACTGCCTGCCCCGGCACTGAGCCCCACGCCGCGGACCTTGCCCCCATCCCGGATCCAGGGGCGATGGCAAAGGCGTTTGCTTTGGCTTCGGTCCATCCAGCCTCGTGCTGGGTCCATCGGGGTGCTCGGGCTCTGCTTAGGATCGCCGGGTGCTGCCATGGGGCTCTGATCCCTTGCAGGCTTGACATGCGTAACTTCGGGGTGAAGGTGAGCATCATCGAGCCCGGGTACTTCCAGACGAACATCACCAACGGGGAGAACGTACAGAAGCATTTTATGGCTGCCTGGGAGAAGCTCCCGGAGGAAACCAAAGCGGATTATGGGGAGATTTACTTGAAGCACTGTGAGTACCTCACCTAAAGCTTTAAGGGATGCTCAAGAGAGCGCTCCCATCGCCCCCCATCACCCCAGTGCTCGAGGCGCTGAGCCTGAGCGCCCGCCTCCTGCTCCCGCAGTTGTGAAATCCTTCGGGAACATGAAGAACCTGTGCAGCCCCAACCTGTCGCTGGTGACGGGCTGCATGGAGCACGCGCTGACCAGCCGCTACCCACGCACCCGCTACACCGCGGGCTGGGACGCCAAACTGCTCTACATCCCCCTCAGCTACGCGCCCAGCGCCCTCTCCGACCGCGTGTTTGCCAAGTACCAGCCCCAGCCTGCCCGCAAAGCCTGAGGCAGGGATGTGGTAAAGGCAAGGAGAGAGCTGGCAGCACCAGCTCCTTCCTGGGCTCCCGATTCAATGCACGTCTGGGAACCAGCTGAATAAAGGCAGCTCCTGCTCCTGGGTTTGGGTTTGGGTTCGGTCTTGGATGGGGACACATGGAGGTTGTGTCCCTGCTCATCCTCCAGCAGCACCAGCGCTCTGGCCGTTATCCCAAGCAGGGTCCAGCCTGTGTCGTCATGGAAAGCCCTTCAAGCCCATCACATCCAACCCTTACCCCAAGGGCGCCGCTAACCCTGCAACCAGCAGCTCCCACTGCTCCCCTGTGCATGCAGCAGGCACGTACCCACATGCCGGGTGCCTCTGCCCCACATTCCCCACCCCACACATGGCACCCGGTTACATCCTGTTACAAGGTGGGTGCTTGTGCAACACCAACACGGTCACCTGCAGCTTGGACAATGCAGCAAGGGTTGTGTAATCAGAGAGATGGGTGTGAGAAAGCCTTGAGCATGGAGACGGAGTCAAAGGCTCCTCCTCGCCCCACAGGGCATCACCTCCTGGGGTGATGGGTGCTCCCTGGCCAGCTGCAAGGTCATGGAATGGTCTGGGTTGGAAAGGAGCTTAAAGCTCATCCAGGTCCACGGGCAGGGGCACCTTCCCCTGGAGCAGGTTGCTCTGACCTGGCCCTGAGCACTGCCAGCGATGGAGCAGCCAAACCTTCTCCATTCAACCCATCCCAGCGCCCCAGCACCCTCACAGGGAAGAACTTCCTCATCTCCAACCTGAACTCCCCCTGTTCCACTCTGAACCCATCACCCCCTGTTCCATCACTCCAGTCCCTGATGCAGGTCCCTCCCCAGCATCCTTGTACCCCCCTCCAGGCACTGGAAGCTGCTCCGAGCTCCCCACGCAGCTTCTCTGCTCCAGCCCCAGTGTTCTCAGCCTGGCTCCTATGGGAGCTGCTCCAGCCCCTGCCCACCCTCAGGGCCCTCCTGCTGCGCACGGTGCCTCCTGCGTCCTCCATACCCATCATTAAGGGCTGCGCAGTGATCAGAGCTGGGGATTAGGTCCCTGAGGCTGGAGCAGGGTCAGCAGCACCCTCACTCCCACACGTGCTGAGCCCATGTGAGCCCAGGCCACCCCTTTGGGTGGTGCAGCTGGACAAGACACGGGGCCCTTGTGCAAGCTGCAATACCCAGGCCAGAAAGCTTCCCTGAGCACCCTGCAGGGCTTAGGAAAGCAAACGGACCTCCCCCGCAGTCCCCAATGACATTAAATGCTCTGTATTGAGCCAAAACGCTCCCCGTTGAGCCAGAACGCTTCCCAGTGAGCCAAAACGCTCCCTGTTGGGCCAAAATGCTCCCTACTGAGTTGAAATGCTCTCCATTGAACCAAAACGCTCCCTGTTGGGCCAAAACGCTCCCTATTGAGCTGAAACCCTCTCCATCGATCCAAAACACTCCCCATTGAGCCAAAAAGGTCCCCAAATGAGCCAAAACGCTCCCTGTTGGGCCAAAACGCTCCCTATTGAGATGAAACCCTCCCCATTGAGCCAAAACGCTCTCCATTGAGCCAAAACATTCCCCAATGAGCCAAAACGCTCCCCATTGAGCTGAAACCCACCCCATTGAGCCGAAATGTTCCCCAATGAGCCAAACCGCTCCCCATTGAGCCGAAACGTTCTCCAATGAGCCAAAACGCTCCCTATTGAGCTGAAACCCTCTCCATTGAGCCAAAACGTTCCCCAATGAGCCAAACCGCTCCCCATTGAGTCAGAGCTCCCCGGGTGAGCCCAGGGCTCCCGTCTGCCCCCCCGGGGCCGGGTGCCCGCCTGCGGGCTCAGGGGCTCGGCCCCGTCGCCTCGGGCCGCGCCGTTATCAGAGCCCCGGCGCTTCCTTCCGAGCCGCTTGCCCAGCACAAACCTCGCGGGGCCGTTTCCTGCCATTGTTCCACCCCGGCGCGGCTCGGAGCTGGATCCGCCGCTATCGGAGCCCCCCCCTGCCCCAGCGCCGGGGCACGGCTCGAGCCCCCTCCCTTCCCCTGCCAAAGGAGCCGTCAAGCAGCATCAATCACTGCTCCGGACTCGGCGCGGGGCCGCTCCTGTGGCCATTGGTATCTATCTGCTGCCGGGGGTTCCGCATCCCCTCCTCCCGCCCCATAAGAACCTCGGGTTCGCCCCAGCACCGTGGGAGCACGAGGGATGCTGATGCCTTAACCCACCCTTGGGACTGCCCGAGCCGCGGGAGGAGCCGGCTCCATCCCAAGGGATGCGTTTCCCCTCCTATCCACAGCGGGACGAGGGCAGGATGGATCCCCTGGGAGCGGAGCGATGATGGAGGGGAGCTGTTGGGGCACCTGCGGCTTCCACATGGACACCATTCCCAGCAGCGAGATCAAACGGGAGCGGGGCGCCGGCGCTGGGAATGGAGTCAAGTGTCACGGGCGCTGAGCTGCCGCAGGATGTGGGACCGCGATGGTCATTTCCTGCTGGGAAGCGGCCAAAAAGCCCACCCCGAGCTCCGCACCCGCGGCTCCACTGCCCCAGAGGCGCCCGAGCAGCGGAGCAGAGAGGAGCCCGGAGCCGCATCCGCATCCAGCAGCATCCGACTGCGCCGGCACCTCTCCCAGGACCTGCCGCAAGGTGAGGAGCAATGGGAACGGGGGGCTCCAGAGCCCAGCTCTGTGGGTTGGGGCTCGGGCGGGTGATGGAAGGTTGATGATGAGTGGGGGATTCCTGCTTCCAAGCTCGGCACGCTCCCGCTTTCCCAGGGGAGCGGTTGGGTTTGTGAGGCTGGATGGGGTCCGCGGCATCTTCGCTGCACGGATGCAGCTTGAGGCAGTTAAAGGATGCTCGGGTCAATTGCGTTTCCCTTCAGCTTATGGGTTGGTCACCTACTTGGAAGACCCAGTGGATCCCAATAGGAGCAGCCACACAGCAGGGCTCGGAGGGGAGCTGCTGTCCGGGGTTGTCAGCTCTGCTTCTGCAGTGATTGATGCTGCAGAGCCTCAGGGCTGTTGGGTGCTGCCACCAGGCTTCATCCCTCTGCTCCATCATCCCCATCACAGCCGAGCTTTCCCTTGCCTTGCAGCTACCAGGATGGCCGAGGTGACCACTGCCCCCACTGAGACCCACACGCTCCTCAACGAGTACAGGGACTACCACAACTGGTCCGAGCTGTTCCACCTCCTCAACTACACCTACAGCTTCTGCGAGTTCAGCCTGGACGAGAACGTCAAGCGGGTGATCCTCTTCATCCTCTACCTCATCATCTTCGTGGTGGGCTTGGTGGAGAACCTCCTCGTCATCTGGGTCAACTGGCAGAGCCGGGGCAACAAGAGCTTGGTCAACCTCTACATCCTCAACATGGCCATCGCTGACCTGGGAGTGCTGCTCTCGCTGCCCATCTGGATGCTGGAGGTGATGCTGGATTACACGTGGCTCTGGGGCAGCTTCCTCTGCCGCTTCACGCACTACTTCTACTTCGCCAACATGTACGCCAGCATCTTCTTCCTCACCTGCCTGAGCGTGGACCGCTACGTGTCCCTGACCAGCTCCTCCCTCTTCTGGCGCAAGCACCAGCACCGCGCGCGCCGCATCGTCTGCGCCTGCACTTGGCTCTTGGCGGCAGCGATCCCGGTGCTGGAGGTCACGCACATGCAGCTGGTCAACACCGGGGAGCCCATCTGCATCTTCATGGCCCCCTTCGAGACCTACGACGAGTGGGCGCTGGCCGTCAGCTTGGCCACCACCGCCGTTGGGTTCCTCATCCCCTTCCCCATCATCACCGTTTTCAACGTCCTCACGGCCAGGTTCATCAAGCGCTCCAAGCCGGAGAGCAGGAAGCACTGCCTGCTCATCTACGCCTACATCCTCGTCTTCCTCGTCAGCTGGCTGCCCTTCCACATCATGCTCACGCTGCTCACCCTCGACGGCAACCACATCGTCCTCCACTGCACCTTCGCCCACCTCCTCTACTTCTTCTACGACATCATCGACTGCTTCACGCTGCTCCATTGCGTCGTCAACCCCATCCTCTACAACTTCCTCAGCAAGAGCTTCCGCAGCAAGCTCGTCTCGGCCGTCGTCAAGTACATCCCAAAGGAGCAGGGCAAGCAGAAGGGCGCAGACAACTCCTCCTCCACCACGCAGCACTCCATCGTCATCGCCAAGGACAACAGCCCCCCCAACTAACGGGGATCGGGCCCCGGGGCCGGTGAGGTTGGGTTGCCCTTGGTGATAAGGAGGTTCTTTGCTCTTCAACGCTTCTTGGCTGGTCACCTCCTGTGCTAAGGAGCAGGGCTGGGTACCAAACACGGACTGGGGGATGCAGAGATCTTGCTGCGGCCCCTGACCATCATGGAATCAGAGTCATAATCGTGCAATCATAGAATCGTAGAGTCATAATCATGGAATCACAGACTCTTAATCATAGAACCATAGCATCAACTGGGTTGGGAAGACCTCCAGATCAAGTCCAACCATTCCCCACGCACAAAGCCTGGATGCTGCCCCTTTTGCCGTGACGCCAACCCCAGCAGGACAGAAGGAACCCTCTGGAACCCTTTGGAACACCCAGCAGAGGCCTCGAAGCCTGACTGCACAGAGCTGAAGGCGGCGCGGCGCCGAGGGGCTGAGCTTCAAGCAGGGCAGGAAGGACTCGGGATCAGCAGCTTGCCGAGGGCAAGGCCAGCAGTAAAGCAGTGCTGGGTGAAGCTGGGTTTGCCCGGGCACGGCCACAGAGGATGGGGGGTCCCCACTCCGTGCTCCACATCCAACCAGGGCAGGTTTAAGGCCACCGCTTGCGTTTCGAAGCATCCCACCAGGCTCCGGTGGCGCCGGCTCCGTGCTGCCCGGGGAACGCAGCGTTGCTGAGAGCCGGAACGCGGGGTTTGGCCCTGGAAGAAACCCGGAGCATCCGGACAAAGTTCATCATTATCCGGGCTCCGCCGTCACGTGCCGCGGGTCAGGCCCCGGGCAGGGAGGGTGAAGGAGCGGGTCCATAAATCTCCCAAAGGCCTTGAGCTGCTCCAGAAACAGCGCCTTTAAAAGAGCCAAGCGTAAGCAAATCCCGGGACAGGATGTGGGGCTGCAGGGCGGGGAGCAGGATATCCCGGGCTATGCGGGAGAAGCCCGCGGCCAGGGGTTAAGGCGGGCGCTCCGTTATCACCGGGAGCAGCTCTGCCCTTGGCAGCGTAAATCAGTGCCTGCCCCAGGGCTCCGCTTGCTGCTGGGCTGAGGGTGGAAGCCGAATGCACCTCAGAGAGAGGTGCTGCGGCTGGGGGTGAGGCCGGCGCCCTCGGATATGGGATCGTGGAATGGTTTGGGGTGGGAAGGAGCTTCAGGTCATCCCGTTGCCAGCCCCTGCTATGGGCAGGGATGCCTCACGTTGGACCAGGCTGCTCCGAGCCCCATCCCTTGAACACTGCCACCACTTCTCCAGCCAACCCATGCCAGCGCCTCAGCACCCTCACAGGGAAGGGCTTCCTCCTTATCTCCAAGCTGAACTTCCCTGTTTCAGTTTAAACCCATCACCCCTTGTCCTGTTGCTCCAGTCCCTGTTCCCATCCCAGTGTCCAGCTCAGGGAAGCCGCTCGCGCTGTTCCTCTTCCTTCCCTTCCTTACCCCCAGTTTCACAGCCTGGCCCTGGGGACCTGCGTTGTCCCAGCTCCTTCATCCCCATCACCTGGGCACAAGGCAAAGCCCCGACACCCGTGAACGGGAAGCAGCTTCGCACAGACACGACCCCCAGCTCTGATCCTGAGCCTTCCCTTCTGCCAATGCCAATCCCAATGGAAGACAAGTAACCGGGACAATATATTCAAGTCTAAACCTGTAAAATCTGGGGTTTCACCTAATAAACTTCCTTCTTTTGATAAGAAAAACCCTCTCCTCATGTACCTGCAGCTTGGCTCCCAGAGCCCAGGGCCAGGCTGGCCCCAAATAAACCTTCCTAAAGCCCCACAGAGGGAGCAGGGCTTGGAGCCCAGCAAGTCCTTTAGCTGGGTCCCTCCGTATCCCTTTAAAGCCTCCACCACCCCTTAGGGTAATCCTGGCATGGGCTCCTTTAGGGGACCCCTGCACCAGCAGCCCAGGGCTGCTCCAGCTCATCCCTGGCTCCCACCAGGAATCATAGAGCCATGGAACGGTTTGGGTTGGAAGGGAGCTTAAATCTCCCCCAGTTCCAAGCCCTGCCATGGGCAGGGACACCTTCCACTGGAGCAGCTTGCTCCAAGCCCCATCCAACCTGAATGGAGCATCCAAACCTTCTCCATTCAAACCATCCCAGCACCCCAGCACCCTCACAGGGAAGAACTTCCTCATCTCCAACCTGAACTCCCCCTGTTCCCCTCTGAACCCATCACCCCCTGTCCCATTGCTCCAGTCCCTGATGCAGGACCCTCCCCAGCATCCTTGTACCCCCCTTCAGGCACTGGAAGCTGCTCTCCTCCAGCCCCTGTGTTCCCAGCCTGGAACACCACTGCCTGCAGGGAAAGGGCTCACCAAGGCACCCAAACCCCCAGCGGTTCCCCCATGGCTTTCAGGAGGCTTCAGCTTCCACCCTGCTGAGGAAGCAGCCATGGGAACGGGGGGCTCTGCTCTCCCTGCCACCCTGGGACCCCCATGGGGCTGCCGGGAAGAAGCCGGGCGCCAGAGGTGACCGTTTTCCATTTTATTATGCTAAATAAAGACCACACTTTGTGCTGAGCGATCGAGGGAGTAGAAAAGAACCCGATGCGGACCCGCTGCGGACATCTACGGGGGGGGGGGTTTACAAAATATACAAAACTTTACAGCAAATAGATAGGAAACACTTAAATATCGGGAGGTCAGGACCTACGAGTCACTTAACAGAGAGGGGAGACTGCAACTCCGCTCTTCTCCTTCGTCTGCTTCAGGAAGAGCCCTGGATCTGTCGGGAAAGGGGAGAATCCAATGGGATTGTGGGGGAGAAACCAGAGGAAAACCCCTCTTGAAGCCTTCGGGGGGGGGGGATTTGTGCTGGGGTTTCCTGGGTGCTCTCTGCACAGCCAAGCATCGCCCTCTGCGATTCCCTCTTGGAGCCTGAGGATCCCAAAGCACCTCCAGGCGAGGTAGGTAAGTGTCATCCCGCAGGAGCACTGGAGCTCCCAGTCTGGAGCTGGGTCTGGGGACCTGTTGGGGTTTAAACCCAGTCTGCTACTGCTGAACCCAGGACAGGACCCCGGTGGGGTCTGCAGCCGGTCCCCACATCCCCTCCGTCGATGGGGCTCGCCGACACCTGGGATGCTCCACATGGGACAGGAAGGAATCCAAGCCGCAAGCGCCAGGGCTCCGAGCGCTCTCCCTGGCCCCAGCACCAAACCCAGCCCCTGCTTCCCCGGCCCTGCGTGCAGAGCCCGGCCTTGCTTTGCCCCACAGTGGTTCAGTGTCAAAGCTTCTATTTGGTTTATGTGCACAAAAGGCTTTTGCTTCACAGCTTTGTCAGCTCCGGGAGACGCCTTCACCCATCCCAAAGCTCATCCCAGCCTCCGGGATGCGCTCAGAGGAGCCCAAGGCTTTCAGGACCTGGCTCCCCCCGAGCCTCGTGGTGTCCCCCCCGTCACATCCTTCATAGCAACCGTCACATCCCTTCCTGTCTGCACCAGGACAAGGAAAGAGCCCTCAGAGGGGCCTCCATTGCCTCCTACCCCTTCCAAACGCCTTCAGACCCGCCCCGTCTTCACACCACAGAGCTGAAGGTGCCTCCTCAGCCCATGGAGACATCACAGCCCGCAGCACAGCACCACGAGACCGGCCTTTGGCAACCGAAGCTCTGGGTTTGGCAACAGCTTCAGTGCCTGCCCTCCGGACACAGGCTCCGGGGGCAGGATGAATCCATCCCTAACCCAGCACCCTCCAACTCTCTCTTGAACGCCTCCCATGGGATGCGCCCTGCGTCCCACTACTTGTATTGCTCCAGAGCTGGTTTCACAGGCAGGGATGGGGCTAAAGGGGAGTTTGCTTTCCATGGGGAAGGCTGCAACAGCAGGAAAACAACCCGGGCAGAACCGGTCCAGGACAGGGAAGGATGGGATGGATGGGAAGGATGGAGGCTGCCGCTGCCCAAGGACAAGCATCATCCCTCGCTCACTACGTGCGGGTAGGAGCAGCCTCCACCACGCTCCCCGGAGGTAGGTCGGGACCACAAGTGTCACCACCCTCATTTTACAGATGAGGAAACTGAGGCAAAGAGGTGAAGGGGCTCGGCCAAGGCCACAGCTGGGCTGGGGTGGGGGACACAATTCCAAGCTCTAACCACGCATCCAGCCCTTGTGCCTTCCAAGGGGAAAAGGGGGGATGAGCTTCCAGGGCCTGCAATCAGCAGCTCTGTTTGGAACAGCGTCTGCAGGAGCACGGGAGCCAGGTTTGCTCTGGCTGGGGCTTGAGAGCCCGGAGTGCTTCCTGTGTGTGAGGTAGAATGAGGGAGCGAAGGGCAGGCAGAGCCTGGCTTCCCTCCACCGGGATCACGCAGGGAAAGAGGCAGCTCCAGCCCTTCCCGGTGCATGGAGCCAGCTTGGGGGTCCTGCTGCGCTTGGAGCTGCTCCACTGCCCGGAGGCACCGGGACCACGGGGCACGGCCAGGATGCGGCCGGGATCCACGGCAGCGGAGAGACAAATCCTCAAGGGTACCTGCCTGCGGGTTAAGGCAACAGCTTCATCACAGCCTCGTCCGACGGGATCCGTGCTGCCGCTGCCCGGAGCTGCCAGCGCCGGGACGCGCGGGGCTGAGCGGGCACCGGCGCCTTCTGCAGGGTGGTGGAAGTCAGAGGGGACCAAGTTCAGGGTGGAGACAAGGAGGAAGCGCTTCCCTCTGGGACACCGGGGATGGGATGCGCAGAGCAGAGGAGCTGCGGCTGCCCCATGGCTGGCAGGGCTCAAGGGCAGGTAGGAGCAAGCTGCTCCAGCGGAAGCGGTCCCTGCCCACGGCAGGGGATGGAGCTGGAGGAGCTCTGAGGTCCCTTCCAACCCAAAGCATTCCATGGTTCTTTGACGTCGCACCCAGATCCCACAGCCCCAGCCTGCTCCCTCCCCTGCAGGGCTTCAGAGGGGGGCAGTCCCCCCTCCAGCTCCTCCTCCAGGGACGGGGTGCTCACCACGGTCACCATCCCGGGGGGCTTCCCACCAGGAACCCCTCCTCTTGGCGCGCGCCCGCTCGCTCCGGTCCCCGGTGATGCTGCGACGCGGACGCTGCTCCTCTCCTCTCCTCTCCTCTCCTCGCCGCAGCAGCAGAACCCCAGCGATGCCCAGCACGAGTCTATTTCCGCTTCTTTCTTCGCCTCCTCTCGGAGCCCAGCACCATCCTGCTCGGGCTCTGTCCCTCTCTCGCTTGAGGTCAAGGTGTGAAAAGTCTTAGCAGCATCGGTTTGTGGACGAGCTCGAGGGGAGGGTGAAGCCTAGCCGAGAGGGCTACGAGGTTTCCGAAGGAAAGCATCTAGAGTCCCAAACCTAGTGAGTAAACGCTAAAAACACAGGACTCGAGGGGCCTCTACGGGACCAGAGGTAAGTAACCACGAGGGACTGCTCGGCCCGGGCCCGCGGCTCCCGGGCTGCTCACTCGGACAACGCCAGCACTCGCTACAAAGGCCCAAAACCAAGAGAACAAAAAAAAAGAGCGAAAGAAAAAGGAGGCTCCTGAGCACGGAACAAACTCAGCGCCAGTCTCCCCCAGCCGCTTCGCTGGCCCGGCCCTGCCATCAGCTCTCGGCGTTCTTCTCGGCCTCTTTGGAATGGATGATGTACATGAAAGTCTGCTCGATGGTGAAGTCCGGCGGGAGGCTGCCCTTGTGCACCCCTATGTGCTTGCTCATGAGGTTGAGCGTGGAGCTGTAGTGCCCGCATACCGTGCAGCGGTACATGAGGGCCCCCGAGTGCGTCCGCAGGTGGCACTTGATGGTGGAGCGCCCGCGGAAGAACTTGTGGCACACTTTGCACTGGTAGGGCTTCTCGCCGGTGTGGATGCGCCGGTGGTAGTTGAACTCGCTGGTGTGGGCAAACCTCTTCCCGCACACCTTGCAGCTGTACTTGCTGTTGCCCGGCTGGCTGCGCAGCACCAGCTCTTCGCTCAGGAACTCCTCCGGCACCTTCCTCTTCGGCAGGCTCTGGTGCTGCAGGCGCTCGCCGAAGCCCGGGCGCAGGTCCGGGCTGCTCCCGCACTTGTGCTGGCTGACGTGGTAGCGATAGGCGGCTTCCAGCTTGAAGCTCTGCCCGCAGAAGTGGCAGCGGAACAGAGCCTCCTCCGCGCCCTGGTGCACGACCAAGTGCTTCTCCAGGAGGTGCCGGTCCACGAAGCTGCTGGCGCAGACGGAGCACGAGAAGACCAAGACGCCCAAGTGGGCCAGGCCGTGCCACAGGAGGCTGCAGAGGCTGAGGTGCCTCTGGTCGCACACGCCGCACGTTTGGCTCCTCAAGTTCACGTGCTCCAGGATGTGGTTGCGGACGGAGTGGAAATCCTTGGCCAAAGGCTTCCCGCACGCAGCGCACGAGAGCTCCGAGCCCGCGGCGGCCCCGAACACGGGGCCCTTCGTGGGGAGCGGGTCGCTGGGGTGGACGACGACGTTGTTGTCGAAGACCCCCTCCCGTCGGTGCAGGGTCAGCTGCCACTGCGTGAAGAACTTGGTCTCGCACATGTCGCAGGAGAAGAGGAAGATGCCGATGTGGGACAGGACGTGCGTGACCCTGGAGTTGCGGTCCTTGAAGTGGGTCTCGCAGACCTTGCAGTTGCCCGTGAGGAGGTCGACGTGGTCTCGGGCGTGCTGGCGGATGAGCTGGATGTTGGGCTCCAGGACCTTCTTGCACACCTGGCAGGGCATGGCCTTGCTGTCCCTGCTGTCGCTCTCGAAGGCCAGCTCCTCCTCGCTGTCGTCGCTCAGCTCAATGATCTCCGACGGGGCGAGCTCTTCGCTGGCATCCTCGAAATGCAGCTCGTCCTCGGCCAAGTCCTCCAGCTGCAGCTCATCCATCTGCCCAAAGCCCTGCTCCTTGGAGTGGTCGCTGTTGCTGGGACACGAGTTGCTCCCCGTGGACACGTCCAGGGAAGGATCAGCAGTGAAGAAGCTGTCCTTGCTGTAGTCCCCGTTGCTCTGGATCTTATACTGCTGGCAGGAGCTGGCGGTCCTCTGCACCACGATGCTCCCGGGCTGGGGCACCATGCTCGTGGCAAGAGCAAACTGCCCTTGATCCGGTTCCTGTCCCACCCTGGGAGGCTGCTGCGGGTGCATTAGGGGAAGAGCCTGGCTTCTTTCACTCGCTGTTGTCCTCTCATCCTCTTTGTAGCCGCCGGCCGCTTCCCCGTGCAAGACGTAATTCCTTTCCGGGCCGAAATGCTCCCCACTGCTCCGGATGTCAGCCAAGGAATGGCTCTGCTCCGAGGAGCTGCTGCTCAGGGGCCCCGACCGCCCTGCGCTCACGGACAGCGAGGGCTGCTTCGTGATGGCTGAGCTCTCCAGGTCGGGGAAGGTGGAGTGACAAGCCTTGAGCAGGTCCTCCATGCCCAGCCTCTCTGCCACCTCATAGATGACGCCCACATTGATGAGGTCCGTGAAGAGCTCAGAGGTGTACACGAAGCTGAGGATCTTCTCGAAGTTGGCCGGGGTGATGAAGTCCACCACGTAGGTCCTGGTGGCATCCAGCCCCGTGTTCAGGAAGAGGTTCTGGAAGTAACCTGCAGCGCAAGCCAGGACGGCTTTATGGGCAGCGAAGGAGCGGCTGCCCACCAGGATGGTAACGTCGCACATGGTCTCGGAGAGCCTGCACTTGTTGAGTTCCTTCAGCAGGTTGTTGGGGTGATTGGTGCTGTGCAGCTTGATCCTCATGCCCATCTTAGCTGCTTAAGAGTCCTTCTCCTGGCTCAGCTTCTTCTTCACGCATTCAGCAGCTGCGTGAGCAGGAGGTGCTCGGCACCCAGAGACTGGCAGGGCAAGGGGCTCTGGAGAAAGGGAGACACAGAATGGGAACTAAAGAACATCACCGCCGTCAGGCCTCGGATCTCCCACCTTCCCGAGGAGCGACGGAAGCAGCAGTGGAGCCGCTCAGAGGGAGATGGACCAAAACCCATCGTGGGACCTCAAAAGCCAGCTCTGGGAGCGAAGGGACAAAGCAAACCAGCACCGGCTGTGCCAGCAACAGCCTCAGGTTCCCACCTGTACCTGGGCATGGACAGAGGACCCCAGCCCCAGGTGGTGCCTGTTCCATGCATTCCCCCCTGCCCGAGCCAGGGTAACACATCCAGGCTCTGCCCGCTGGCTGGCTTCACCCCCAGCCCCTTCATCCCTTTGCTCCGCATCACTCCCGGACCCCCGCAGCAGGCTTCCAGGTGGGAATCCCCCCCTCCACACCTGCGTGGCCCCTCTCTCGGTGCAGCACCCCCCGGCTGCCTGCCCCACGGCACCGGCAATCCCCACCCGAGCTCCTCCTTCCAGCTTTGTCCCCAGCGCACACAGCGGGCCCCAGGCCCTGCATCCCCAACCCCGCACCTTTCCCTCCCTGCGACCCCAGAAGTGGGACTTTGGGGTCTGGGCTTTATCCTGCGCTCAGGAAGAGGCAAAGAGGAGCCGAGGCCGGGCCGGTTCCCCCTCCCGGAGCACGAGGGATGGAGGCAAAGGAGGACGAGGATGGCCGAGGAAGGCTCCGCAGAGGAAACGCTGCACTTGGGCAGCGTGGGGGCATCCCCGGGTCGGGATGGAGACGGGAACGGGGTGGGTGGGAGGGGGAAGCCGGGAGCGGGCAGAGAAGCTCCGCTGCCCGCGGGGGGGTCCGGATAACGCGGCGAGAACGGGAGCGACGCGGAGGGAACCGGGGACCGCGGGAGGGGGGGAACGGGGGACCCCGGGGATGCGGTGCCCCACGAGGATGGGGATGGGGGGGAGAGCAGAAGGGCCCCGAGGGGGGGGGGGTAACGGGAGGCCCGAGGTGGGGGGGGGGGCGTCGCGGCGGGGGCCGGCGGGGTCCTTACCCGGCCGCTGCCCCGCACCATCCCGGCTCGGCTCACACAAAGGCGCCGACCCGCCCCGGGCCGCCGCCGGAGCCGCTTCCGTCCGCCCTGCGTGCGGCGGGGACACAGCTCCCCTGTGCGGCTCGGAGGACGCTGCGCGGGGCGGGCACCGCTCCGGTTACCGGGGGTCGCGGAGCCCCATCCCCGTGGGTTCGTTCATCATCATCATCATCCCCGCCCCTGCCCCACCACCACCCCCGTGGGTCCCAGCGCGGCGCAGCCAAGACACAGAGACCGCCCCGCACGGGCACGGGTGTTTGTTCGAGGGCTCCGGACACCGGGGGTGCTCGCTCGTACACGGGTGCGTGGCCCGACGGCTCCGTGAGCGGCGGCGCGACCGGTGCCGGTGCCCGCACCGGGACAAAGCGCAGGGCCCCGTCCAGGCTCCCCCCCCCCCCCCGGCCATCCCCGGCTCTACCCGCGGTCACGCCGGGGAGCACCGTGGGCACGGGCCGCCGCTGTCCCCCCCCAGCGCCGGCCGCCCGGGCTCCGCCGCCCGCTTGCCCATGAGCCCCACGAAGAAGTCGTGCATGTCCCCTGCGGAGAGAGCCGCCGTCAGCGCCGCGGGGCCCGGCTGCGGCGCCGCCACCGGCACCGGCACCGGCCGGGACTTACGCTTCTGCAGAGCCGCGGCCGCGGGGGGACCTGCAAGAGACCGAAGCGGGTGAGAGAGGCCGGGAAGGACCGGAGGGACCGACCCGCGACCCCCCCTTTCCCCCGGAGCTCACCGGCGTCCTCCTCCCGCAGCAGCTGCAGCAGGGCGGCATAGACGGGCCCGGTGCTCCCGCGGGCTCTCCGGGGCACCGGATCCGGGTCGGGCATCCCCTGCGGGAAGCGAAGCGGGTGAGCGGGGGGGAAATGGGTTAAAGCGGAGTGCGGGAAACCGGGGTTCCCCCTGGCGCTTTTTCCCCCCCGACGGCGCTACCTGTGCGGGGCCCGGCGGGGCGGCGGCGGCGGGGGGGCGGCGGGCGAGGGCAAGCGGCAGCGCCAGGACGAGCAGCGCCGTCAGCACCGGGCGGGTCCTCATCGTCCGGGGGGGCCCTGGGGGGGGGGCGGTCAGCGGCGGAGCGGAGGGGCCCGGGGTCCCCCCCCGAGCCTGAGCCCCCTCTGCGGGGCGGCCCGGGGCGAGTCCGGGACCGGGATAAGCGCTGGGAAAGGGGGGGGGGGAATCGCGCCCTCGGGAGGGGCTGCCCCGGGGGGGGCCTCTCAGGGGTGTGGAGCACGTTATGGGGGTGCATCACGGGGGGGGTCCCGTGCCCGTGGTGCCCCCTTCGTGCACTCCCACAGCAGCCGGACCGTGCAAACACCAGCTCAGGCTCAGTCCTGCACATCCACCTGGAGGAGTGCACACACGCGTGTCCCCTGGCACACACTGGCACACACATTGGCACACACATTGGGATACACTGACACACATTGGCACACACATTGGCACACACACTGGCACACACACTGGCACACACACTGGTATACACTGACACACATTGGCACACACATTGGCACACACACTGGCACACACATTGGCACACACACTGGCACACACATTGGCACACATTGGCACACACACTGGCACACACGTTGGCACACACACTGGCACACACATTGGCACACACACTGACACACATTGGCACACACATTGGCACACACACTGGCACACACACTGGCACACATTGGCACACACATTGGCACACACACTGGCACACACATTGGCACACATTGGCACACACACTGGCACACACGTTGGCACACACACTGGTGTACACTGACACACATTGGCACACACGTTGGCGCACACACTGACACACATTGGCACACACTTTGGCACACACACTGGCACACATTGGTACACACACTGGCACACACGTTGGCACACACACTGACACACATTGGCACACACACTGGCACACGCATCCTTGCCAACCCAGCCCTCCCCAAGCCTAATTCAAGCAGCATCTTCACCCCCTATCTCCTCCCCGGTGCCTTCACCACCACCCTCCTCCTCCCAGCGGGGTGAGGATGGGGCGCTGCAGCCCCCCAGGACCCCCGGGTGCCGCAGGGCACAGACCTGCTGAGCCCTCGGGTGCGGAGCCGGGGGCTGAGCAACCCTCGGTGCTTGCTGCTGCCGGGAGGTGAAGAACCGGGGTGCGAGCTGCGGTGCGGGGCTAAATAGGGGGCTCTGCCCATGGCACGTCACGGGTGGGCGAGAGGAGAGCTGCCAATGGGGGCCGGGAGGGGGGTGGCACCCCCCAGCCTGCAGCTCCTCGCCCACACGGTGTCACCGGCAGCACCCGGTACCGGAGCGGAGTCACGCTGTGACACGGCAGGGGCCAGCCCCGGGCCCACGCAGCCCCCGGCCCCTCCTTGTGCCGCAGGCACGGGGGGGAACGCGCTCACCCGAGCACCGTGTGGCTGCCGGCACGTGTGGGGATGCTCATGGAGGGGACGCACACGGTGGGGACGCGGTGCCCGGGGCTTCGCAGCCACACACAGAGCCCCCAGACCCCTCGGTCCCCCGCTTAGGGTCCATTCAGCCTCCTGGGAGCCCCAGCTTGGTTGGGCATCCTGACCCCCCCCCCTCCACATCCCGGTCCTGTATCGTGAGCCCTCCATCCCTGCCCTGCCTTCATCAGCCCTATTGCCTTCATCAGCCCCTGCCCTGCCTTCATCAGCCCTATTGCCTTCATCAGCCCCTGCCCTGCCTTCATCAGCCCTATTGCCTTCATCAGCCCTATTGCCTTCATCAGCCCTATTGCCTTCATCAGCCCCTGCCCTGCCTTCATCAGCCCTATTGCCTTCATCAGCCCCTGCCCTGCCTTCATCAGCCCTATTGCCTTCATCAGCCCCTGCCCTGCCTTCATCAGCCCTATTGCCTTCATCATCCCTATTGCCTTCATCAGCCCCTGCCCTGCCTTCATCAGCCCTATTGCCTTCATCAGCCCCTGCCCTGCCTTCATCAGCCCTATTGCCTTCATCAGCCCCTGCCCTGCCTTCATCAGCCCCTGCCCTGCCTTCATCAGCCCCTGCCCTGCCTTCATCAGCCCTATTGCCTTCATCAGCCCCTGCCCTGCCTTCATCAGCCCTACTGCAGAGAGCTGGGGGGAAGCGGAGGGAAGGGGAACCCAGGCCAGCAAAGTGAAGCTGCCACCATCAGCCCCAGCAACAGGCAGCCCCGGTGGCCCGGCAGCGGTGGCTCACGAGGCAGCGCAGCCCGGGGCAGGGCAGCATCTGCAGTGCTGGGGACGTTAATTAAACGGGAGCCTGGCCAGAGCCGGCCTAATTAATGAATAACACCTCCCCGAGCGGTGCCAAGCGCCGTGCAGCCGCCAGCCGCTGCCGTGCCCCCGGGGTCCTTTACGGCTTTCACCCCTCTCCGTGCACAAGCAGGAGGGGCCCTGCGCTGGGACGTGATGCAGGGAAGAGGAGGGGGAAGCCCTCAGAGCCAGGGCACATCCCTGCCGTCAAGTCGTGTCCCCCCCTCCCCACCGCACCCCACACACAAGCACATGCCCCTCCGCGTGCTGCCCGAGTGCCCTGGCACGCGTTGCCACACATGTGTGGTCCCCCCCATCCCCATCCCCATGCACGACGCAGCACAGCGATGCTCCAGGGCCCACCGGGGAGCTGGTGCTGATGCTGATGTGATGGGGAGGTGGCAGCTCCCAAAGGTAACGCGGGTGACGTGTGGGGACGGGGAACAAAACCCTCCCTGAGAGCACGATGAGAGCAGGAGAGAAAAGGCAGCGAGAGGAGGGGGGTGGCTGCGGTGTGGGGACCCCGCTCCGGGTGGGCTGCAGGACACGGGGTGCAGCAGCGGCTCCCAAAGGCAGCAGTGGGGAGCCCCCTGCATGGAGTCAAGGGGGGCTCCCGCAGCAGGGCTGGGGATGCTGAGCATGGGGATGGAGATGGGGACGGAGAGGCGAGGACCTCACGTGCCAACCACCCGCGGCCACCCCGAAATTGCCTCTGCGGCAGAGCGAGCTGCTTCCACTTAATGGGAAAAGTGGCTGCAATTTGGGGCCTTTCCAATCACTGCCGAGCCGGGAGCCGGCCGCAATCAGGCAGCGGGGGGGGGCTCCATCCTCTGCTCTGAACAACACACCCCCAGCTACACCTACACCACCGTGGGTGTCCCTGCTGCGCCTGTAACAGGGGGGGACGGACACTGCGACACCGACACCACAGCATCCCTTTAATGGGGGTGCAGCATCTCCTGGGTGCAGGAGGAGGACACACAGGGGATGGGGGGGGTCCCGGCAGGGGGTGAGGGAGGGGGTCCCCATCAGTGGACCAGCACCTCCATCCTGTGGCTGCCCCGCTTCTTGCAGACGGGGCCGTTGGTGCCTGCCTTGGCCGACTCCACCACGGTGATGGCCACGTCGCCCTTCTGGGAGCGGGTGGAGAACCTGGGGGGGGCGGGTCATAAAGGGATGGGGGGATCATGAAGGGATGGGGGGATCATAAAGGGATAGGGGGATCATAAAGAGATGGGGGATCATGAAGAGATGGGGGGATCATAAAGGGATGGGGGATCATAAAGGGATGGGGGGATCATAAAGGGATGGGGGATCATAAAGGGATGGGGGGATCATGAAGGGATGGGGGGATCATGAAGGGATGGGGGGATCATAGAGGGATGGGGGATCATGAAGGGATGGGGGATCATAAAGGGATGGGGGATCATGAAGGGATGGGGGATCATAAAGGGATGGGGGGATCATAAAGGGATGGGGGGATCATGAAGGGATGGGGGGATCATAAAGGGATGGGGGGATCATGAAGGGATGGGGGATCATAAAGGGATGGGGGGATCATAAAGGGATGGGGGGATCATAAAGAGATGGGGGATCATAAAGGGATAGGGGATCATAAAGGGATGGGGAGATCATAAAGAGATGGGGGGATCATAAAGAGATGGGGGATCATAAAGGAATGGGGGATCATAAAGGGATGGGGGGGATCATAAAGGGATGGGGGGATCATAAAGGAATGGGGGTATCATAAAGGAACAAAGAGATCATAAAGGGATGGGGGGATTATAAAGAAATGGAGGGGAATCA